GATTCCTCTCTTAGACCTCACCCATCACTTAGCCACCGCCTCTGATCTGACCATCACCATATTAGTCACCCCGAAGAACCTCCCCTTGTTGACCCAACTCCTCTCTTCCCACCCTCAAATCAAAACTCTGGTCCTCCCCTTCCCGCCCCACGCTTCCATTCCCTCCGACGTCGAGAACTGCAAAGACCTACCTCAAGGCTGTTCCACCGCCTTGATTCATGCCCTTGGTCAGCTCTATCACCCTTTGTTGTCATGGTTCGAATCCCACCCTTCACCTCCTTCAGCCATTGTCTCCGACATGTTCTTGGGATGGACTCAACGTTTGGCTTCCCGTCTAGGGATTAAACGAATTGTTTTTTCCCCTTCTGGCGCCACGGCATTGTCTGTTTTGTATTCCCTGTGGCTCGATCTCCCTAAGCTGGATGATCCTCAAGAACCGACGGCTGTCATTTCGTTTGATAAAATTCCGAAATGTCCAAAGTACCCTTGGTGGAAAATCTCTCCTACTTATCGCGCGTGCGTTGGGGGCGACCCCGCTGGAGAATTTATCAAAGATGGGTTTATTGCGAACATCAAAAGTTGGGGTCTAATTATTAACTCTTTTGCTGAACTAGAAGGGCCTTATTTCGACCATTTGAAGAAAGTGATGGGCTCTGATCATGTGTGGGCTGTGGGGCCCTTGCACCGTCTCCATGTTAACAACAGTTCTTCTCTTACTTGCCCCGTAAGTAGGAGTGGGCCCAGCTCGATCTCGGTGGATGGCTTGTTGACGTGGCTAGACACATGTGAGGAAGGCGAGGTGGTCTACGTTTGCTTCGGAAGTCAAGTCGTGTTGACCAATGATCAAATGGCAGCCGTTGCGTCGGCGATGGAGAATAGTGGGGTCCGTTTCATATGGTGCGTTAAGGAACCCACGGAGGGACACGTGGAGGGAAAATACGGCATGATTCCAAACGGGTTCGAAGATCGCGTGGCTAGTAAGGGACATGTAATCAGAGGGTGGGCCCCGCAAGTTGCCATACTGTGTCACCGAGCGGTGGGCACGTTCTTGACTCATTGCGGGTGGAACTCGGTCTTGGAAGCTGTGGTGGCTGGTGTGACCATGCTAACGTGGCCCTTCGGTGCTGACCAATTTGTGGACGATACTTTATTGGTTGATGAGATAAGGGTGGCTAAGAGGGCGTGTGAGGGTGCGCAAACTGTGCCAAACTCAGACGAGTTGGCACGAGTGGTGGCAGAATCAGTGAGCAATAAGAACAGCTTAGAGAGAGAAGGAGTGATACAATTGAGAAAGGCAGCAGTAGAGGCAATTAAAGAAGGTGGCAGCTCGGCTAAGGATTTGGAGGAATTGGTAAAGCATCTATGTTCAACGGAATTAGATGCAAATTCTGACATGTAAACTGTCTTTAAGCTTGAAGAAAAGAATAAAGAAATGGAAGTGTGTTTTTGGTTTTGGAACACCTTTTAAATGGCTGGCTTGTAGATGGAGCATGTAATGTAAGAATTTATGCTCCATATCTCTGCGTTATAATTAGAATATTATTATTATGATTATGCTTACCAGTTTTTCTTACAGAGGCGTATTCGTTGTTATCTTTCTTTGTTTTCTTTGATAGAAAAAAATGTGTTATTTGTTCGAAATTTACTTCATTTTCTGTTTAGCCAAATTAAAGCTTAGATTGCTGTTAGGATTGTCCTTTTGTTGCAGGGAGCATGCGAGTCGTTACTTTCTTGGAACGATGCAGCATTACTTTTATGTCCTTAGGCTGTTTTGCTTGAAAATTCAAGGGCACGTGGGTTAAGTTTCTTTGCCAAACCAAACGGACATCTACTGCAACAGCAATTATATTGTCCCAACTCCGAACTCCCATGTGCACTGTGGCAGGCAGCAGCTTAAGGTCCTTTCACTCATTCGGAACTCAACAGCCTCCTTCTGTTGGGTTTTTGTTTTAACAGAGCCAAAATGTATATAAGAGGTTAAAAAAGGAGATTCAAATTTGTGTGTTTTTAAAATGTGAAAATGCGTATGTGCTATTCAACTAAATTTACATGCGCTATCATAGGTAAGAGTTCAAAGTAAGCCTTGTTTTGGATAACCTTTTCACTAAGTTGTTCTTTTAGAATTTTTATTTAATAAATGATCATTTCTCTTAATCTTTATTTACTTATTGAATTGAATATGAAATATATCAAAGTTGGCTTTCAATCGGTCAGGACACTTATACTTTCCCTCTATAATGCACATTGCTAGTTATGGTATTATTAGTATGTGTGATTTATAATTCCACAAGTGTACAAATAACACAAATATTCATGTGTCGATAGTATATATAAGGCATATTATTACTTAAAAAAATTCTTATATTGTTAAATAATTTTAAATAACTTTTTATTTTTTAAATTATATTCGATTAAATTTTTATATTTTTATTTTGATTTAAATAAGTTATTTTAACAAATAGTTAATTAATTATTATTAACAAAAATATCACTTGTCATTTTATACCATATGATGTTGGCATAACATGCTAAACTATCATAGTCATTTTATGTCACATGGTCACAGACATTTCGCCTTCCCGTTAGCGTTACATGATATAAAAATAACAAATAATATTTTAATTAATTATAGTTAATAAACTATTAATCATAAAAGTTTATTTAATCTAGAATAAAAGTTGTTAGCTCCATATATAGTTTTCAAATTGATTCCATATTTTGAAATGACAAACAAAAATTATCAAATTTTTATCTAAGTCTTGGAATATCAAGTCTAGACATTCCCTAATACTTTCAAATGAGTTTAAGAACAAAACAATGAAACAGGATGAAAAATAAAATGATTCAAAAGAATGGAGTCAAAAAAACCCTTTTTAATTTAAAATGAAATCAAGGAAACCTTGTTCAAAATAATGGAACCAGGGAAAGCCCTATTCAGTTTTACAATAAAATATAAAAGGGCAATTTATAAAGATAGTCTATCTTAAACCTACTTATAACGCAAGTAATTAAATAAAGAAGCATTTTAATTTTAGATTTTCTTAGAGTGCAAGAAAAATAAATATCTTATAAGCTAGACTTTTGTGTAAGCAAAACAATCAACAAGTAAGGAAAACTTAAATATGAAAAGTATTCTAATTGTCTTCGAATACTTTACTTTGTTGCTACTCTTCTTAGTAGCTATTGGATCCCTTCATGCAGGTTATCCTGTGCATGTTTATCTGTGTGAATGTGTGCATATGGCTTTCTTGCATGTGTGGCCCATAGCTTAAGTTAATACTCCTTTAAAGGACTTTGAAAAATGCATTCTAGTCTAAATCCATCAATACATGTTCTTCATGTATCGATACATTTGGACAAGTATTGATAAAAATTGAAATTTATCGATACATATTCTTAAGAAAGTCAAAATTTGTAAAGTCAAACTCAATCTATCAATAAATTCTCAAATGTATCGATAGAAATGCAACAGAATACTTACAGCCTCAAAAAAATCGATATATTTTCAACAGAATACTTACTGCCTCAAAAATATTTATATATTAGTAAATGTATTGATATATTTCCAACTTAATGTTCAAGTCCTTGTAGCGAAATTAAAAAGTATTGATACATGCCAGAATGTATCGATATATTATAGTGGGAATTCAAACATAAAAGAGGCAATATATCAATACATTCACACATGTATTGATGCAATATAACTGTTAGAGCTTAGAATGAAAAGAAAAACGACTATTTTCACATTTAATGCACTTCTAACTACTTTTGAAACTTCACCAACTATAAATACAAGCTTGCATAGTATTTATAAAGGTTAGAAGACTTTGAAATACAACTTTAAGAGAATAATTCATCTTAAATCATTTAATACTTATTGTACTTCTTTTATTGCATTTAAGTCTTCTATTCTATTATTTAGAGAGCTTTTATTGTTTATCTCCATTCTCACCAAATATTGTACTTAACTTACTATTTAGCCTCTAAAAAGCATCCTAGCTGCACTTTAATCTCTTATTATATTCACTTGAGTAGTTATACTTTAACTAATTAGAAAAGTAAAAATTAAGTGGTTATATCTTAACCAAGATAGAAGGTAGAGTGATTGTACTTTAACCATACAAAGGTATTGTTTTGAAATGTTACACTTGATCTACAAAAAGTATTATATTGAATTCTATTTTAATGATAGATTTAAATTCCTCCGTGAATCTAATGGAGAGAACATAAACAAGGAAACTGAACTTCTATAAAAATTGTTGTGTTAATCCTTCTTCCTTCCTTCGTTACTCTTCCAATTTTATTTTTATTTCCAAATTTACTTATTTTACAAGAATCCAATCGTCTTGCTCATTTTCAAATTGGAAATGTGGCTTAAGAAAACTTTATTTTTTCAAAATTGAAAAAGAATTTTTAAAATTTTAAAAACATTTCAATTCACTCCTCTTAGAATTATTCATATTGAACTTATTACACTAATAAAAGTTCATGAGTTTGATTAAAGGTAATAAAATAATAAAAACTTATTTAAATCCTCTTCACTAGTTCAAGAGTTATTTTAAAAGAAATAAAAATAATATATTTATGTCAAAATAATGCATGAGAATGAAATTGTAATAATATCATTTAATAAAATTGAAAAACTGCCCCTAAAAAGATTTTTGATAAGCCTCTTATCAATGACATATTGAAAAGTCATACTCACAAGGAAAAGGTTATACCAATATAAAAAAGTATTAGAATATTGATATAACTTGATTAAACATAAAGCACAATAATGTATGAATAAAATTATATTTTATTATTGTATAAATTTTTTTATCAAGTTAATCTGTAATTCACTAATACATTCTATTATAATTGAATTATACCTACTTTTGAGATTTCTAATTCCAGCATGAGTACATGATTATCTCCTCAATTTTATTTTTATTTTAATAGAAGAGAGTTAAAGACTACTCCAACAACCAAACACCCCCCATTTCGACCACTGTGCCAACGAAACCAAAGTTCCGAGTAAAAAAAGAGAAAAGACTGGAAAGAAATAGAAATGGCGTTGGTTCGCAAAGGTTTAGTATCCGTGGCTAAAAGAGGTTTAAGCCCTCAAATTACGCTAATCCCTTTCAAATCTCAACGTTTGTTCTGCAACGAGCCATCGTCTTCCAATCCTCTTCTCAAGAAACTGCTTCAGGTGCCCAGCTCATTAATCAAGACTACGCTTGATTCTGATGATCGTTTCGCCCTACGAAATTCGGCATTTCCCTGGGATGCCCTTGTCGCCGGTCTCCCATCTTTGTCATCTGAGAAGGCTCAGCTGGTAAAAGCCGAAAATTGTCTTTTAAGTTCTTTCTAATATTACTGAAATTTGCAATGCCTTGTCTGGCTGCTAAGACTTTTGGGCTTTAATGGAAGAACGTAAATTATTGAAGATTTGCAGTTTTCATTTATGTTTAGAAGTTTGCTCTCGCTAACCATATGTATCCGGGTTTGATTTTATTTATTTCCCTTGGAATTAAAATTTTAGAAATGTAAGGTTTTGAATTCAAAGGAATGGATTTGATTGCTCTATTTTTCATCTTATGCCACTGTTACCATTAGCCAGCAGTTTACATTCGACTGCAAATGTAATGCTAAAAACAGTAAATAGTATGGTAATAAATCTTAAATGCTATGCATGTTGCCTCTTGCTTTTCCCATTGAACTGATTTTTTACGGGAAAAAAACAATATAATGTACCTTTGCTTGTATTTTAATTATTTTCTTTATTTCGTGAGCATTTTTTTTGGACATTTTTCCTGTTACAGCAATTTTACAATAGCAATGCCAAACATTTGAAATGCTGAACCGTAGTTTTTTGTGTTGCAGTTTTTGACTTCAATTCAAACCATACTTTTTTCATTTGCTATGATTTAACTTAGCTTACTATTTGATTGGTCAGGTTTTGGAATGGAAATTAGAGAAAATGTTGAAGGAAAATGAGAGAGATTATGATCAATACTTGAATTTGATGTCTCTCTGTGCAAAGACTCGAAATGTTCCACTTGCAATGCATGTGTTCACTTCAATGGAGGCTCATGGGATTAAACCAACGGCTTCTGTTTTCAATTCCCTTCTACATGCTTGCTTGTGTTTGAATGATGCGATAACAGCATTCAGCTTATTTGAGATAATGGAGAGGTCAGAGGGCTATAAACCAGATTCTGAGACTTATGAGACTTTCATAATTGGCTTTTCAAGTTTGGGAAATGCTGTTGCCATGAAAAGTTGGTATTCAGCAAAAAAAGCTGCAGGTTATTGTGCTACTTTACAAACATATGAATCTCTCATTTCTGGTTGTATCAAATCTGGCGACTTTGATGGTGCCGAAAAATTCTATGAAGAAATAAGGTCGATAGGAATAATGCCTAATGAGCACATATTGGAGAATTTGCTGGAAGGGTTTTGTAGACAGAGAAGGTTTAGGCAAGCTAAAGAGTTATTGAAATCGTTTCTGGATGTTGGGCGGGAAATTAGTGTGAAGATGGCTAAGAAGATTGTGTGTTTGTATTCTGAATACGGGAAGGTAGAAGAAATGGAGGAACTACTTTCAACTGTAGTGGAGTCAGGTCAAGTTGTTGAAGTTATGTTGCAGGTGCACTCTGGAATTATAAGGATGTATGCCACGTTAAATAGATTGGATGATGCAGAATACTCAGTGGGCAGGATGTTGAAACAAGGGTTGGCATTTAGATGCGCTAATGATGTTGAGAAGGTCATCTGCTGTTACTTCAGGAAAGAAGCTTATGATAGGCTAGATATATTTTTGGAACATATTAAGGGTTCTCATAAGCTTTCAAAATCAACTTATGATTTGCTGATTGCTGGATATCGAAGAGCTGGGCTTTCTCAGAGATTAGATTCGGTGATAAAGGACATGGAATTGTCTGGGGTTTTATAGCATCTTAGTTGGAAAGACAGGTTCTTTTGCAAACAGAGTGAAGCCAACAGTCTGCCTTTGGCTTTGACTGTGGCATTTTTGCTCATTTAAGTAGTGATTAAGGATATGCTTCCTGCACAATAATGCCGCAAGTTGCTAGCAGGTTTTCTGGAACCAATCAAATAAAACTGAGCTGATGTTTTCTGGATTGGGACTATTATATGGTGGCTGCTCAATTAATTGCTTGCACCATACATGCAATAGAGCATTGTTTGAAGTTAAATTAAGTCAAAACAGTAATGGGCTTAATAGAGATTAGTGAGTGTGTGATTTGCCAAAGGCAGAGGAAAATATGTTAGAAAATTGGAGACATTTTCTCTTTGGTTGACATCAAACTTTAGGTGCTCATACTGAAATTCTTTGGGGAGATGATCATCCTTTGCTTGAACCAAATCTATGCTTTAGAATAATATATCATCATTGCATTGGACATGTTTCCGTGCATGAGGTTGGATGCATCTGTTTTTAAAGGATGGCCTATACTGACCTTGGAGATGAAGTTGGGCAGTATAAGATAATTACTAGGAGTTAATTGACGAAAGAATTTCAAGATGCCAGGGTAAGCTACGCTGCTCCGGATCCCTCTGCCTCTGCCTCAGCCTCAGCCTCAGCCAAAGTTTTTGAGCCAGGAGATTACAAAAAATGTGCCTATTGTGCGGCTTTTTTAAGAAAACTAGTCTTGATGGATAATAATAGAATGATGATTGATGCTGTGTCGTTATAATTGTTCAGAAAGTAAGTGGTTTTCCTGCTTTTACGATTAAAAAAAGCATTGATCTGTCATTTTCTTCGTTCTGAAATCTCATCACGTGTCATGATTATCATGGGAAGGTTTATTCATTGCTACTTCTAATGCTGGAATGGCGTTTGCATAATCTCTTCTTTTTTACGTAAATTTGTCGTTATGGATTTTAAAATTATTGCAGAGCGTGCTTACATGAGTTGTTCATTATGATAGGAGTAGCATGATTTAATCAATTTTGAATCGTGTTAACTTGATGTTAATATGTTGTGAATTTATATTTGATATATTATCGGTGTGTACTGTTACTGAATTCAATATTATCAAGTTAGAATTTTTTAAAGTAAATAACTATTATTTTGAAAATATTTTATATAATTAAATGATAATATATATGAAAAGGTAAATTAATTTTGTCTTTCTTGTTGATTCTGTTGGAGTGTTAGAGTTGACTTGAATAACACTAAATATTTTCTGTTCAGCTTTTTAGAGTTTGAAGAGCACTTGATCAATTAGATAAAGGGGAGGATGAGAATTTTTTAGAATTACTAAACATCAAGTAAACAAGGGTAAATAAAAGTGGACAATACAATAATATTTATAGTGGTTCGAATTTCTTAATTTATATTTATTACTTTGATATCTTAAAAAAAATTATCTTTTCAAAATAATTTTTGTTTAATAATTAATATAAATAAAAAATAATAAGATAACTCTACAAGCTCTATTCAATTTTAATTTAGTTTTTAATTTCTCTCTATCTCTTTCTCTCTTTCTTTGCTCGTTCTTTCTCTTTTGTCTTTTTATTGTTATTTTTACTTTACTGTCTTTTTTATAACTCAATATTGAAATACATTTCATTTCTCAAAAGAGATTTATGAGCTTAGACAAGGAAGAAAGATGATTACTCACCATCATTATGTGAAATTAAAAAGATTTAATTTTTTGTATTTTTTTATATTATTTAATTATTTATATATTTAATCATTACGTAAAATTTTATATATTGTATTTAACTTTTTATATTTTAAGTATTATAATTTTATATTTAGTATTTTAAGTTTAAATAAAAATAAAATAAAAATATTAAATATTGACTATATTAATTTTTTTTTTCAAGTTTGATTAAAGTATGAATAAGTTGAAAACAAATAATAAATTCTGTTAAAGAAATTGTCTAAATGATTCTCTTACATTTAAGTCACTAAATCTCAATGTTTCAACTTATCAGCAAGAGTAATGTAAATCAAAACGTTTAATATTCAATTTTTAAAAAATTATTGGTTAAGTTTAATATATTAATTTTATAAATTTTTAACTTTTATATTTCTTTGTTTTTGACCCCTAATAAAAATTGACTAAATCCATGAGTAGGGGATTCTGCTGCTGAGGAATGGCTGCTCGGGATGATGAATGTGTATGGTGGTGCGAAGGATGGTGCTGCCGGTGTCATGGATCCGAGGTTCTGTAAATGAAGGTATGCCTTTTATGATGATTTATGGTCGGTTGATGGCTTTAACAATAGGTGACCTTCACCCACACTAGTAGACAAGCCAACCATATAGCTGAGGGGCTTGCCAAAGTTGGGGTCATCAGGCACGGGTATTTCTCATCTCTCTTTTAATGCTTGTCAATTTTTCTATGTTTTTGGATCATCTTGCGGATGCTTTTTCGCCCTTTCCAATCACTGGTTCATGGATCCTTTCTGGCTGGCTTTAGGTTTTGCTAGGGAAATTATGATTTCTCATTCTATGTTTTTGGCTTCTTCTGTTGTCATTGATTGTTGGATGTCGGTATTGTATTGGTTGTCCGTCCCCTGGCCAGTGTTTTACTATGATATTTGTTTGCGTTGAAAGTGCAGAATACTGCAGCCCAAGTGTTCCTAACGATCGGTGTTCCCTCTCTTAGTGCTCCCTTTTCTTGGAAAGTTAGGAGCATCGGTCGGTGCCTTTTTAAAAAAAATATATATATAATAATAATTTTTTAAGTTAATAAAAAATAATATTGTAATTTTTTTATTATTTTTGTTAATGATGTTTACATTTTTTAAATAGAGTGTATTTAAAAAATTACTAAATTTATTTAAAATTTCTATTAAACTTAAAAGTGTGTGAGTATTTTTTTTTTTAAAAAAAAAAACAACTGTTGTTATGTAAACTAAGAACAAGGATGAACAAAATATAAAAGCAGTTCAAGAAGGATTTAAAAAACGTGCTCCTTGCGATTGATGATTAATTGCAAAGAGTTTTTATACATATTACAACTAACCAATACTTGTTCTTTTGCATGATACAAGTGTTTAAAGTTAACCAAGATCATAAACATGCACGGCAACTCCGATCCTAATAGTGGTAGTGTGATGAGCTGTGAATTTGCTAAACAACAAAACAAGCTGAAAACTTGACCACGTGGTTGGTATGTCAGAAAACAGTATGACTGTTTTTTAAAAAGAGAAAAAAAATCAAAAGCTGCTTGCCGCTCTTAGTATAGAGATGTCTAGAAGATTAAAGCCAATTATTGTACAAAAGAAAAAAGTACAGTCCAAAGGAAAATACAAGTTTCTTCAGAGAACATTGCAACAAAATGAAGACAAATATGGAATAACACGTAACGCGACCTGGACATTATTACAAGACTATTAAAACTCGCCAGAAGTTTCTTCCATTGAATATGATGTTAGGGCAACGCATTGTCATGCGCAAAGTATACAAAGAACTAATTTTTCCTGATGTAAATAAAAAGATAATCTAGCTTGTAGTCTTAAGTTGGGAGTAAATGAACCTTTTTGAAAATTGTTTTACTTTTGTTAAGCTCAATCAACTATTATCAAATATAGCTGCAAGCCCCACCTTATATAGATAAAGTAAGTTTTGATATCATAGAAATTTTGAAAGAACAATATAATGCAAAAGTTTTGAGGATAGGACATACAGGATCCAAATATGTGACACTCAAAACAAGTCAGGACTCCTAGCTACCATAACCAACAGTGCCAGGTTGTTACGTTTGAGAAAGAAAGGGGTGGCAATGAAAGGGGCTGTAAGACTTACTGTCCAGCTCACAACAGCTGCCTCTCTCCAAAATCCTTGTGCATGTTGTTCAAATCACTTACGGTGATGATGGGTATCCTCTGCTGGATGGGAGAACAAGATGATTCTCAATTCTCAACCATATAACTCTGGTTAGCACATACTAGATTTGGACATTTTCGTTTGATGTTACCTCTTCTACCTTGAGAAATCCATTTTTTCCCATTTCTTCCATTGGCGTATTTACATGTATAATATTTATCAACTTTCTTAGTTTGAAGAGTTGAAGAAAAACAGATACAAGGGATGAACCTGTTTGTTTCTGTTTTGCCCCTTGGGTGATTTTTGTGGCAAAGGTAAAGAAATGCCATGAGAAGGGAGGAAAAAGATTAGACAATAACGGGTTTTTAGGGAGAGAGAAAAGAAGAAGAAGAAGAAGAAAAAAAAGTGCATTTTAGTGTTTTTATGACCCCCGTGACATGTTTTAGTGTGATGGATGTTTTACATTTTACAAAATTTATTAACGGTGTTAAGAGTTAGACGTTCATTTTCAATATTAATAAATTTACATAAAATTATGCACAAAACAAAACTTTATCCTATATAAAAACTATATATCGTTACTGTATTAAATATATTACAGAAATTGGATCATTGTAATTACGCTTCTTTTCTAGTAAAGGGTGACTTTCGGCAATAATATTTCATGCATAAATAAGTCATATACTTTTGTCGTTATAATTATACTACATCGATTTCCTACTTCGTTTTCAGCTCATTCATCGCTTTAACAAACCCATCCAAATCTTTGTCTGAGCTTCCTCCCTGAACCGCACCTAAGGCCGCTTCGCTCAGCCGCTTCGCTCGAACCCTCTGGTTTGGTCCCATCCAGAGACTCAACCAACACTCGAGCCAAGTTGCTCGACTCGGGAATATTCTGAGTCGACTCACCCACTCGGATCCCAACCCCGAATTGATCAACCAACAACTTAGCATTGGTAAATTGGTCGGCACCCATTGGCCATGTCAGCATAACCACCCCCGCCGCGATCCCTTCCAGCGTGGAATTCCAACCACAGTGAGTCAAAAACGAGCCGACGGCTTGATGCCTGAGAATCGCCACTTGCGGAGCCCAGCCTTTAATTAAAAAGCCCCTCCCCGCTACTCTGTCCTCAAATCCCTCCGGAATCAGGCCCCGATCGCTTGACACCTGACCGTCACTTGGTTCCCTCAAGCACCAAACAAAGTTGACCCCGCTTTTCTCGAGCCCCGCCGCCAATGCATCCATTTGCATATCGTGGTCAACCACATGAACGCTCCCAAAGCACACGTAGACCACCGAATGGTCCTGGTGTACATCCAGCCATGCCAGCAACTCTTGACATGGTACCGAACTAGACCCACCGCGATTAGTTGGGTCCGTGGCATCAACATCACCTTGGGCTGGCATCATTACGGGCCCAACCACCCAAACCCGATCATGGGCCATCTCTTTCTTGATATGGTCAATGTATATGCTCTCCAAGTCAGCGAACGTGTTGAACACCACTCCCCAACTCTCAAGATTAGCACGCCAGTTTTCTCTATAAAATTCCTTGTCTGGGTCCCCATCTTTGCCGTATCTGTAAACATAGAAGACTTGATAACAAGGGTATTTGGAGAATTAGGGATTCCGCGCAGCGACACCGTCTGATTAACGTCATCCGGATCATCGATCCTTGCGGTTCGCGGCACATAAAGATGTTCAAGGAGTAGCAAAAGGAACTGGAGGGTGAGAAGACGACACGTGGAACGCCTAACTCAGAAGCGAGAGTCTGAGTCCAGCCGAGGAAGAAATCGGAGAAAATAGCAACAGGGGGGACGCTTGGTACTGAAACCACTGGAGCAGCAGAGGATAGTGAAGCTCACGCAAGCGGCGCATTCTAGAGAGAAGGCCGGGTTTCGTTGAAGGCTCGGGGGTGGGGAGAACCAGCGGTTGAAGAGAAGATGAAACATGGCCGGAGAGGAGTGGGTTGAGGGATGGAGGTTGTTGGGGTGACCAATACGGTGATGGTTAGACCGCGGGTTAGCAACCGGTCAGTAAGGTCAAGAAAGGGATGATATGGCCCGAGGTTGGAAACGGGTAGAGCAGGATATGTGTACCGGTGTTGGGCATGGCTCGATAGTGGAGACGAATTTGATGGGCTGGCCTGAGTTTATTGAGTAGGTAAGCCGTAAGGCTTTCTTTTATAGCGAGTTACGAACAACGCCATGGTTAGAGCTGTCAACATGAGCCGACTCGATCCAGTCCGGCCTAGCTCTTGTAAGTTAAAAAAATATAAGTTTGATCGGATCAGTTTATTTTTTATATGGGTCATCAAAATTTTAACCCAACTCACTCTTTGTTAGCGCATGGATTGAGTTGAGTCAACTCATTTTTATTTTTATTTTTTAAAAATTAATTTTTATAATTCTATTTGATAAATTTTTTATTAATAAAATTGTTCTATGATTTAATTTATAAATTGAATAATAAAAATATGTTACAAATAAATAAATTACATTAAATATAAAAAAATAAATAAATTACATAATAAAATTTAAATCTTTAATACAAACTACTATCTCATAAACATAAGTATATAACCAAATAATAAAATTTCAAGACTCATTTATATCCTCTTCAATCTTCATTCTCAAGTAAAATATTTAAATCTTGTTTAGACAGCAATAATGTCTCAAGGTCTGAATTATTATCAATTTATCATCTAATATTCATTACCATAAAAAAAAAAGATAATAAGTTTTAATCTAAATTAAAATTTTTAATTTGATAAGTGAAGATTAAAGACATTGAAATATATAAAATAAACAATACTATTCGTAACTAAATTATTAATTTTTCATAATTAAATATATAAAATTATTAAATTAATTAAAATTATTTTTTTAACTCATAGGGTTGACCCTGTCTCAACCCACATCACTCCATTGATTTGATGGGTTGACTCATTTAAACCCGGTTCAAATATGAGTTAAATTTTTTTAACTCAATTCATTTCATATTTAATAAAAAATAGACCGATTTGATGAATTCGACCATTTTGACAGGTGTAGCCATGGTCATTATTACCATCTTTGAAGTAAGGTATGGTACGTTCAGTAGTACCATCTTTTATTGTTGCAGCATTGCATGCAATGGTGGTGAATGGTGACACCTAAGCAAGCAAAGTCTTTTTGCATTTACATTTCGTGGCATGGCATATCCTACAAAGTACATTTTTGTTTTGTGGTTAGAAAATATTAATGCGCAAAATTAATGTGTATCTTTAAAGATTCTGTGAGAAGATTGCGAACCTGAAAAAGCTTGTGCTTGACAATGAAATCTCATCTTTTAATTATTAACAGTGTCTCTTTGATTCTAGCGTATTTGGGGTTATTTTGAAGATTAAATAGACTTTCGAACATGGAACGATTAATATATAGCACTAAACTACTAACAAAAAGAGAGTATGCAGTTATTTCGTGTACCCAGAACTAGATTTTTGAGTTTTAACTAGGAGTGAGCAAAAGTCGGTTCGATCAGTTTTCGGTTTGGTTTTTGGCAAAATCAATAAAAAATTTCAAAGTTCTAACCAACCGAACCGCATAGAACGTAAAATCGATTTCGGTCGATTTTTAAGAGCTTCTATTCGGTCGATTTTTTAGGGTGAGTGGACTTCAATTTGGTGGCTGTTGGTTTCGGTAGGAGTATGAGAGGGAGTCAAGGAGAGGCGGAAGGGGGGTAGGAAAATTAAGTGGGGGGAAAGGGAAACAATTGCAGGGGTATAGAGGATAAGGGTTACTTGGGATTAATGAAGGACACTTTTATCTTTCTGCTCTCTTAAAAACAATAACCGTCAATTATTCGGTCGATTCAAGGGGAAAAAGTTTCCACCGACGATCGATAACAACAGTTGGTTATAATAATCAACGATTGTGATCGGTTGCCTGGTTGCAACCGACTGCTACACAGTCTTAATTTTAGGTTAACATGAAGCTCGTAAAACTATCTAACTAACATTGTTTTTCAAGAACACCTGCCAAAGTTGGATCGGGGTAGTAGACCTTTTGTGTTCGTTAAAGTTGTAATAGCTAGCTAGGGTGGGGACCTTGTTCATTTCATCGACTCGGTAGATTTTGTGGACGTGATGTTGCTTGAGAGGTATTCAATGCATGTACCTATCCAGACGGGAACCAACAATATGATTATGGCTCAGATGACCCCATGTTTTACATCATCAGGCCGTTTCTCACCCTTTTGTCCACAGCGGTCGGTGGTTAATTGATGCTCCTGTTTGTACATGAGGGCTTGTTTGATCTCATTCATGGCAAATGCAACACAGTTAGAAACTCATTTAGTCATGTGGCTCCCCTCTTCTACAATTCGCTCCTCCCTGGGCTAGAATGGAATTTGAGGAACTACATATATCTCCTTGACTTATTTTTCTTTTCATTCAGGCCCTCTGTTAAGGACTCATCTTCTCGAATCAATTTTGATAAAATAAAACCTGAGCATTAAATTGTGTTAGTATTTTTAAAAGGGATACTGAAGACGCATCTTTCCAAAAGCATAATAGTAACAAAGAGCCGTAAGCTTCGGTGACAAGACTTTACTGGTTCTGATGTTGAATTCGACGGGATCTAGGAAAGAATAAACTTTTGTCAAACACTGGAGTTGAGTAGGTAGAATAGAATAGACTTTGTGATTTGGATTCCACCACTAATTATTATCCATCGCTCTGCTGCGTGTTAACATTTCTCCAAACTGATAGCATTTTAGCAACGCTACCTAGATAGCAAAACCCATCTTACCTCTCACAAAAGCTTTCATGGAAGGGTTATGTAACGGTGTCAACTGTTGGTGATTGACTTGAATTATGTAAGTTTTAACAACAATAATACTCATAACATCAAAATGTAACACAGGTTCTTATAATATTTGTATCGACCTAAATCTTAGTAGTTTTAATGATCCAAAACTTTTGGGATATATCGTGGTTTGCAAAATGTTAAGATTAAGTTGTAAATGTAGGACATGGCATTATAAATCAACTCTTCTAGATACGTGGACTACTTGTGTGTCCAACAGATAGAGCCAGGAAGTGGCAGTTCTTTTTTGAATGACCTCTTTAATGAGAAATTTTTGGTGTAAACGATTAATATCGATCTCCTCAAGTTGTCCCATGAACTTGACGTCCATTTCAATTAAAAGCGCCAGTAGCATTAGAGAATCAGTGTTTGGAAGACCCTTGGAGGATTATTTCTATTGCAGCAGCGAGTCTTATAGCTAAGATTATTTCCGTTACAGCAGCAGCTAGTCTTATAGCTAAGATTATTTCCGTTACAGCAGCAGCTAGTCTAATTGCTTTTCATATATTCTGGGGCAGACAGCATATATGGTACAGTGTTTTAGCGTTTTCCTAGCTCTTATTAATGCAGCACATGCTGGAACCGTTTCTGGGGAGATATTACCATGTCAATGCATATGTTCATACTTCATTATCTCATTCTCTGAAATTTCTACTCTGCTTCTGCTTTTCTATCTACATTTCTCTCTATAAATAAATGAAGGGAAGACTATGCTGTTGAACTGCTTCAAATTGATGAGTTCAATCTCTGTGTTTCACTTAAATATAATCTAATCCGTCCTGTACCCCCAGAAAGAAATAATTCTAATCTGCCTTATGGCCCTCCTGACCATAACGAGCTCACTTAAAAATGTATTAACTAAAGACTGCGTAATCGGAACAATAGTTTCTCATTGTGAATTGTGGCTACTTCTCATGTCAATTCAAATTTGGCCTATCTTAAGTCCTTTGGCAAGATTTGGCTTATCATCGAGATCATCATGTTGCCTGGCTTTCTCAGAAACCATAACCGGATATGAAAACGAGAAAACTTCCATCATCTAATACCTTAGAAAACAAGCATGCTAAATCACACTATGTGGTTTTCTGAGCTCACACAACAGCCTCACAGGGCAAAAAGACGATAGCACTGCACTAATCAATATGATCCCTAAAAATTGCCTCATTTATAAAGTATAAATGAGCAAAGAAGGGCAAAACGAAGAAGAAAATAAGGCTGGTAGGAGTTGTAACTGTGTAGGATTAAAATTTTGAGACAATCTTACGGAATTGCTTGTTTTTGATCCAGAGGCTCATAATTGTGGACAGGGGGCCTCGTAGGTAGTCTCCGGTAGTCTTCGTTCATAAAATTCAATAAATCTTTGCCAGCTTCAAGAAGCTTTTTGGATTGAAGTTTTTCAAGGGAATTATCAGAATCTCGGGGAACTAGTTTTGGGGAACTCGAGAAACATTCCGAGCTGCCCTTGTCAGAAACAGGCTTGGAATATCGGAAGCAGAGCTGGTTTCTACTTGGGAGTTTAACCGAATGCTTCCTAGAAGCTTCTGGGCTTGCAGAGCTTAGGAAGTTTGCCTTCAACATGTTTCTGTCATCCTAGGTAATCATTAAAAATGTTATTCAAAAAGGAACAAGAAAAGAAGTAGCAAATTTATCAATTGCCTGCGAGCTAAGAGATCTGGAACCTGATAATTGAACTTCTCATGTGAGCTCCCAATCTGGTTGTTTAAAGCATTGGTAACCTTTCCTGCATCAAAACGTTGAAAAATTCAAATTGAACCAACAAACAAACCCTTTATTCCAGATTGAGCAGTCTCAAATGAACTAAACAGTTAACGCAATTGCACACCCTCACTCTGGCGTGCCATACACACAATGGAGAAAGAATAAACATTTGTTGCACCACGAAATGTGAAATTCTTTTAGACATTCAATTACTATCGCATGCATACAAGTATGATATTTTCCGCACCTGTATTCACTAGAATTCCCTATATAAAAAAGAAAGAAAGAAAATATTCCGGAAGCAAAATTGGGAGGTTAACAAAAAGAGAGCTCTATCCTAAAGAATCTCACTTCATTTCCTCAGTTATTCTTAGGCGGATGGGATTTTGGGACATGATAATCAGCGCTAAAAGCTGTAAAACCAGCCTTTTTGGCCTTCCCATGGCGATGAGGATTTCTATTTCTCACTTTACAATTTACGTTCAAAATTCCTTTCCCTCTATGGCTACTTTTTCCCACAGATTGATCTGCACCTGAAATTTTTGCACTCTCTTCTCCTTCCGAACCTTCTACTGTCACTGTCTTTTTATCCAAACCCCATTTTAACATCATTTTCCTTCCTTCAAGCCTAGAATTCCCTACTTCTGCCGCCGCAGGCATAGCATCATAAACTTCCTGGCAAGAAGTTCATTTTAAGGATATTAAAAACTTTGAGTTCCCTGTATAAATATAGTAGGAATGAAAAGAATACCATTCTGACAATTATTCAATAAGTAATAACTTTACCTTTCCTAATTTGGCTGGGTTTTTTCTTGCTGGTTCAATAGCACTTCCATCTGCAGCCAATATTCTCTTCAGAACTGCAAGAAGA